TACATACCCATTTATTTTCTTGTAGGTCGCGATCCCCCCACATGTTTTCGGGGCTTCTTGAGACCGTCCGAGGTCTCCCGAAACTGCTGTCTTGCAGGTGGGAAGTTTCGGGAGCATTCAGGATTGTTCTGACAAGTTGGACTGGACCTGGTGAACGATGTCGAGCCCCCGAAATTCAACGATTTTTCCCTCTTTTAACCCTAATTTGACGGACCTCACAGCAGATATTTCCTTCTTTTAACCCTAATTTCCATTCCTCCTTTTCTCTTACTTTTTTTTGTTAAAACAGCTACGGCTGTGAGATGATTCCCAAACTGAGGGACCCCAGGTTGTTCACAATTAGTTGATTATATTCAACTGAGGTCTGTATTTCAACAGTTCATGGTTGTACCAACTGAGCTAGGAGAGTTGGTCTCACAGCGATTTTACCATGCTACATACCCATTTATTTACAACGGGAGTTCCCTGCATGTATATGACCACGATGACGGGCAGATTCGGTCAATTAGTTGATTCTATTCATCTGGATTCTATCTCAGGTCTGTGTATGTTAACAGTTCATGGGTGTACCAACTGAGGGCACACACACTGCGGTACCAAATCTGCAAACTCTTAAACCACCGGTACTTGGCCCAGCTATCAAGACCGAGTCTCCCGCTAAGCCAAGCCTGGAGCTACCGGCACCGGAACTTTCTTATTTCCGAAAACACAAAAAACAAAATAAAAGAAAAGAGAAAAACAAATACAAACGAGATTCTGAAAAGGAAAAAGGGAAATAAAGAAATAAAACGGGAGGAGGAAAGGGGGGGGGGGAGCTACCGGCACCGGAACTTTCTTATTTCCGAAACAAAATAAAAGAAAAGAGAAAAACAAATACAAACGAGATTCTGAAAAGGAAAAAGGGAAATAAAGAAATAAAACGGGAGGAGGAAAAGGGGGGGGGGGGGGGGACAGAGAGGTTGCAGAACGCAACGCATTTCCAGGCATCTCAGTGAACGAATCCGGTGCAAAACGCCGCCCACATGCCGCCCACATGCATTCCAAAGTAGTAAAATCCCTCGTCAAACCTTTCAAGGGCTTTTACTACTTTGGAAGGAGAGAGAGAGAGAGAGCATCCCAGCTATAAATTCGCCGGGCTGCTCTCTCTCTCTCTCTCTCTCTCTCTCTCCCCAAAGTAATAAATGCCCTCATCCAAAGCTTCAATGAGGAATTTTACTATTTTGGAATGTATGCAGGAAGCATTTCAGGCCCAATTCATTGACAAAGAGGCCTCTCTCTCTCTCTCTCTCTCTCTCTCTCTCTCTCTCTCTCTCTCTCTCTCTCTCTCTCTCTCTCTCTCTCTCTCTCTGTTTTTCGTTCTTTCTTTTTCCGCACACCTTTTTTTTTCTGATTTCTCTTTTTCCGCGTTCATTTTTCTTATATATGTTCTTTGTTTTTCTTTATTCTTTTTCGTGAAATGTTAGCGGGCAAGCCCGCGGTCATCTATGGGCCAAGTACTGGTAGTCACACCATGTCCCCAAATCTCCCATTTCACGGTCGCAGCAGCTCACCCAGTGCGGAACTTCAGAGGTCCCCAGTCACACGGCGCAGACCCTTTTTCCCTCACCTGATTTTCTGTTTTTGCTTTTTTCTGGGTGAGCGGAACTTCGAAGGTCCCCAGTCACACGGCGCAGACCCTTTTTCCCTCACCTGATTTTCTGTTTTTGTTTTTTTTTTGCTTTTTTGGGGCTCTCAGGGCATACTCAGGGCATACTCACTCGGGGACCAAAAGTCTCAAAAAATTGAGGCATTTGGTTCGTTTTTTTTTACGCATTTGGTCCCGCGTGGTCACACGGCGGACCTCGTCCAGAAAGGATGAAGTAGCGACCCTGACACTTCGCACTCAGGGCAAGTGCACCCAGTCACACGGGGGAGGACCAAACAACAAGATGAAAATTTTTTTACTTTTTTTTTCACGCCAGTATATTGCATGGGCCTTCGCTACAACGTAAATGTTCCTGGTCGCACTTTCAGTTGTTTGGCGGGCTGTCTTCTTCGTCTACGATTCTTCAATCCGCGGAGGTGGTCTCAAAAAGGGTCCGCCCCCGCCCCGCAGGCCGCTGACAGAAGTGTCACCGTTGGAGGCATTTGGGTACCAAGCCTCTCCAGTGTGACCCAAAAAATGACTCAAATTTTGGGATTTTGGGTCTTTTGGTCCTCATGTGACTATGCCCTCACACGGGGACATATATTCCCCAAATCCCCAAAAAGACGAGAAAAGGCCGGTCACACAGATCTACCAAATTCGCAAATGTAATATTCCTGTGCCCATTTGTCAGCGGCCTGGGAAGCCGCGGGGCAAGGGATTTTGCGGTCACCTCTAGAGGTGACCACAAATGCCCTTTTTTTTTTGCATTTTCTTCAAAAAATGGCAAAAATTGGCAAAAAATTGGCAAAAATTCGTTCACAAAAGTTCTTGCACAATTTGTGGATGGCGCCGTGTTGACCAGCCAAATCCCCATTTCTCCAACACACACACACACACAAAAAAAATCCCCATTTCTCCAGACAGCCGCGATCTTGTCCCATCTGAAAAGGTACAGCACTGTGACGTGAACCATGCCCAAAACCTCAAATCGGCCCTTCCCAAATCCGCATATTTTGCGGATTTGGGGTCGCAGTGTGAGTATGCCCTCACTTCGCACCTATTTCCAATTGCTATCGTGCCAATATCTTGGTTTACGATTTTTTGACCATTTTTGCAAGGTAATTCAAAAAGCGAAAAAAAACGCGGCCCCTCAGTCCGCTGACAAAAGGGTTCCGCTGACAAAAGGGTTCACGAATAAGTAATTTCGGAAAATGATAAATGGGTGTGACTGGTCCAATGCAACTTTTTTTGAGTCATTTGGGATTTTGGGTCCCCGTATGACCTCGCCCTGAGCTAGGTCAGTTGGTCTCGCAGCGATTTTTCTTTTTCTTTTCTCTATTTTTTTCTTTTTGTGCAGCGATTTTACCATACTCCATAACCATTTATTTACACCAAGAGTTCTCCGCAGAGATATGACCGCATTGACGGCCAGATTCCATCCCTTACGCGTATTTGCGACACCTATATGGGCCTTGCTACACTACAGGCCACTCTGCGTGCATTCAAGCGCTTTTCGGACCCGCGCAAATGCACCTTGTCAAGAAAGCGTCCAAATGCATACAGTGTTGTGTACTGGAGCGAGGCCCATATTCTCAGAACAAAGAGGAAACACTTAGTACACACGAACTGTTCCTGCATCGATCGCGACACTGCTGAAAGGTCCGCCTTCCACCGAACAGAACGCACCCAGGAAATGGCATCGGAGAAGAGAGGTGCGCGGCAGTGACTACCGTCTTCCCCCAAACATAACGCACCTGTGTTTCCGGCACGATACAGGCAAAATGGGGGTGTGTTGTGTTTGGGGGAAGACGTGCCGCTACCGATCTTCCTGCGCGAACAATCTCGGATGGACAGGTTTCAAACTCTCGACCCGTGACTCGTCACCATCCAACCACAACCAAGTACGTAATCTGTATTCTTCTCTCAATCTATTTCATCTTTTTCTTGGTAGTACGCATGATAACGCATCTATATCATCCTCTCACTAGTCTATTTATAGTACCGGGGAACACCAACCAACCCGGATCTCTCCCCAGCCCACGGGGTAGGTTTGCACCACAACTGTGGTGCGAGAGCAAGGCTGTACCAGAGAGCAAGGCTGTACCAGTCCCTCATCACGGTGACGAAGGGTAGGCAGGCATTGCCGATGGGGGAAGGCGTTTGCACCACAGCTGTGGTGCGAGAGCAAGGCTGATCCAGTCCCTCATCACGGTGACGAGGGGTGGGGAGGCATTGCCGATGGGGGAAATCGGCGGTGCTAGCGCCGAGCAATGGCCAGTCACTGCACCTCCCCCTACCCCCCCCCAACCCCAATGGCCGTGTCTAATGGCCAATATTGTCGCTGCATAGCAGCCAACAACATCAGCCAAGGTCCTGCCAATGCTGGCTTGGGGGGCCAACGGGTTATCTCTAGCTCGTAGAACACCAAGCTTGCCCAGGCACGTACGTGAGGCCAATGGGGATAGAACCCACGACCTCCTGAATGTAACTTCTGTGCCTTACCAACTGGGCTAGGCCTTCCAATTCCTACAAATGATTAAAGCCGTGACAGATGGCTTTTGTAGTTGATACCTCAAAATCATGGCCAAAATAAATATATGGTTGTCACGTGTGTTCCACTGCCAGACCGAAGCCCCCACGACGGGGAAAAAAAAAAAGAAGATGGGTGCCCAGGAGGGATGTACACTCGAACACAACCAATACTGGGAACGGTGGGAGAAAAGGAACTGCAGACGGCCAAGGAGGGAAGCCCGAACACTACCCTTAGACAGAACCCCGGCCCTCTCTCTCTCTCTCTCTCTCTCTCTCTCTCTCTCTCTCTCTCTCTCTCTCTCTCTCTACGCAGACACAGAGCAAGGAGGGCGCTCTATCCGCCCTTAATTTTGAAGTTCGAACCGTCGACTTAGGACGACACAAGCGGAGCTCTCTCTCTCTCTCTCTCTCTCTCTCTCTCTCTCTCTCTCTCTCTCTCTCTCTCTCTCTCTCTTGTTTGTGAAAGGGATTCTCTTCACGCTTCTCACGTCCACCAGACAATTGAAGTGAATCTAATTGACCTTACAATACTAGTAAGCCCCCATAACCCGTTGAAGCATGGTGATAAATGCTATAGCCCATGCTTCCCAGCTACATTGAGGAAGCGAAGTCGACATCGACCACTCTCCGAAATGCACAAGTTATATCGATGCCAGAGCAGCATCACCGAAAGGCCTGCCTCCACTGAGGAACGGGGACGAGAGAGAGAGAGAGAGACGAGGTGAAAAGGAGAGAGAAAAAAAAAAAAAAAACCACTAAGAACACGAGACAGCAGAAATGAGTGAAAAAAGCAGAAAAACGAAGGAGAGCGTAGACGAGGAATGGTGGAGCCCAAACTCACATGCCCTGTGTGCTGCTCGATCCCCTTGTCTTGAACTGTACAATCTGAATCCAACATCATCGACTTCGTTGGCACCTGCAGCAAAAACCCAAAGTCGATCAGAATGTAACTTTCTCATCCAAAATCCTCTCTCTCTCTCTCTCTCTCTCTCTCTCTCTCTCTCTCTCTCTCTCTCCCCCCGGCGGGCGCGCGCCGATTACACCGCGATCCAATTATCCCTGATTGTTAATCCCGAACGGCAGCAGCATCACCCCCTTCATCCGGTATACAATTGCACTTCCTTCCGTGCAACTGCGATCCGGACTGAAGATCGAGCCCATTTCCTCTTCAAGTGTCGTTCCCTTCCCTCAAGGTTTCCTCGAGCATAGTCCTTTCTCCAACAACAGCGACCGCTGACTTGAGATCACGAGAGGTTCTAACGAACTCCATGGCTCTCGAGTTGTACGACAACGAGAAATATATTTTTCATTCATCGCATAATACAAGGAGAAGTAAGCTTTCTCGAAATCACGTGTCTATTTGCCTCGCTCAACGACTCAACATTCCACATGCATTTGGACCCGCTCATGACCGGGTGCATTCGGAGGGCTCGAACATTTTGAATGTATCCGGGCAATCAAAACCTCCAGATACAGTGTTTTGTAATGGAACATAAGCTAAACAACAGTCTCTAATCAACAGCGTCACTAATCGACAGCCCCATTATTCAGCAGTGGCACTAAGCAATAGGGCGGTGCTAGCAGTAAAGAACAACCTCAACAATGCCTATTGAGGAAAGTGCTGGTGGCGTTGGTGCGCTGCCTTGTACAGGAAAGTGCTGGTGGCGTTGGTGACGCCTATACAGGAAAGTGGTGTTGTTCGTGCTGCCTAAACAGGAAAGTGCTGGTTAGAGGAAAGTGCTGGCCATACAGAGAAGTGCCACTAATCAACAGAGCCATTAAGCAACGGTGCCACGAATCAATAGGGCGATACTCCATACAAAGAAAAAGTGCGGTGCTGCCTATACAGGAAAGTGGTGTTGTTCGTGCTGCCTAAACAGAAAAGTGCTGGTGGTGTTGGTTCTGCCTTACAGAGGAAAGTTCTGGCTATACAGAGAGGTGCCGCTAATCAAAAGTGGCACTAATCAACAGGACCATTAATCAACGGTCCCACTAATCGATAATAGTGGCGATACTGCCTATACAGAAAACTGCGGTGCTGCCTTACAGGAAAGTGGTGTTGTTCATGCTGCCTAAACAGGAAAGTGCTGGAGGTGTTGGTGCTGCCTTCTAGAGGAAAGTACCGGCTATACAGAAAAAAGTGCCACTGATAAAGAGTAGCACTAATCAACAGGGCCATTTATCAACGGTGCCACTAATCAACAATTGTCAATAATCAATACGGCGACGCTGCCTATACACAAAAGCGCTATTGGTGTTGGCGCTCCTTTATAGAAGAACGTGCGGCTGGTGCTGCCTATATAGGAAAGTGCTAGTGCTGTTGGTGCAGCCTAAAGAAGGAAGTGCTCGTTGTATTCGCGCTGCTGATGCTGCTGCTGCCTCTGACGATGATTGAGGACGATGATCAGGACAATGATCATGACGATGACGATGGTGATGGTGGCAGTAATGACATTAACATTGCCCCTCCGCCAAGCTGGCTGCTGCTGTGATGACAAGCCTTACACTCCATTTTGAGAGTTTCCTATCGATTGCGATGAAGTTGTGGAGATATCGAATGAAGTTGTGAAGGTGTGGGGCATTCAGTCCTTCTCTTGCTAAAAGGTGTTTTTTTTTTTTTTTTTTTTTTTTTTTTTTTCTTCTAAAAGGTGTTTTCATCCATTTCCAATAAAAGTCATTCCATTCCTTGGATCTGTTGCATCATGATTGGCGGTGATAAGCAACCGGACTTAGCCCCCCAGAAGAGATGAGGACTGAGTCCGCCAGAATAGCAACCGGACTGAGCCTCCCAGCAACGGGACTGAGCCCCTCAAAATAGCCCCCCAGAGCAGATGGGGACGATCTATTTGGAATAACTCTAGCTTTACGTCAAGATCTATGGAAAGTCCCCCAAAAAAAAAAAAAAAAAAAGATCGATGGAAAGCTTGCCCTTTACTATTATTTTTATTAAATAATAATCCGTATATGTATGTATGATGGTACCGGATCCGGGATCAGAGATAGATCGCTAACCACGAAGCATTTTTGCATTCTTTTTTTCTCCTTTTTTTAATACCCTTCACATGCTGAGCTCGCTGAATAGAACAGCAACCTGTGAGGTGCGCTGACGTCCGCGGTTGTTCTGTGTTTTGGGATGTTCCCTTCTTCCATCCCCCTTTTGCCCTTCCCTGCCCTGAAAAAAAACGAACAAGACTCTTTTTTTTGTGTTTATGTCCTCCCTGGCCTAACAAAGTCTCTTTGTGCGATGCCTCTCTTTCATAGCACCTGACGGCATACTCACACCTGAGGACCTTTCTTTCTCGACTGACCTGTGGAGGTGATTGCGCTCAGATGCGTCCACCCCCGGTCCGATACATCTAAACAGTCCTGCTTCTCGACTGACCTGTGGAGGTGATTGCTCTAGTTTGAGCATGCTCTGTTCTTACTCAATTTGAGCATGCTCTGTTCTTACTCAATGGAAGAAGCTCTAGTTTGAGCATGCTCTGTTCTTACTCAATACTACACTAATACCAATACAGTACGCTCGCTTAAAACCACCTGGTACGTGATTGCGGTCAGATGCATCGAACCCTGCCCGTGATTGCGGTCAGATGCATTCTAATTAGCCCTGTTCTTGATGAGATGGTTCTTCTATACTAGTACGAATCCACTACGATCGCTTCCTGACTTACTGTAATAGGCCTCGCCGCACTACTCACCAAATGAACTAAAGCAGAATGAATCTTCCGCTAGAACATGGAAAGGTGCACCGCCATCATTTTTGTCTTTTCTGCATTTGGCGAGTAGTGCGGCGAGGCCCATTAACACACACGACACTTTGCCCCCGACAGATCCCCGCCCTCATTGATCGATTTTTTTTCAGTCATGCCGTTCGCCCGAAATTACATCTGACCAATATCCATTCTGCAGGAAGCCTTTTATACAGATATATACATCTACACAAATAAAGAAGACACAAAACGACAAACAGAAAGAGGCTAACTGCCGTTCGCCCGAAATTACAAAAAGTGCTCTGCGCAGACAGCTCCGATAACCGATCCTTAAATACAATCCGACTTCGAGAAAAGAAGTCTTCAGAAATGTCGAATTCCCCATCAGCTGCCACGTGGAGATTGCCTGCTGACATGGCTTAACCCCTTGCAAGCTATGTCCACAAGATTGCTGTCACGTGGAGATTTGCAACAAAACGTTGCCGTCCCGCCGAGAAGCATCCCGACCCACGAGTCCCACGTGTGTACTTACGCGAGTTCCGCCAGTCCCGTCAGTCCCGCCAATCCCCGAAGTCACGACAGTCCCGCAAATCCCGTCAGTCCCACGTATTCCCCCCAGTCCCGCGTAGTTCCGCCAATCTCGTCAGTCCTGAGTAGTCCCGCGTGTGTGCGCGTGTCGTACGTTCACTGCGCGCGTAAGTTGCGCCAATGCATAGGAAGTGGAGGTGAAGGTGGAGATGGAGGTGAAGGGGGAGATGGAGATGGAGGTGGAGATGGAGGTGGGTCGAACCCTCTTCAGTTTTGTAAGGAGAGTCGACATGAATGAAATTCACTTTTTCGGAACCTCATTTGCCAGTGCCGCCAGCCGAGACAGGAGAGGGGGAAAAACAAAAAAGAAACCGAAAAAGAAAGGGCGAACAAACCCGGGAGAAAAGAAAGGATGGTGGTGGTGATGGGGCGCGCCGCAAGGGGGAAAAAGAAACAAAGGGGGCGCGCCGCGTGGGGTGAGACGGCGACGGGAAATAGAAAATAAAAACAAAGAAAGAAGAAGAGAAACGTCAAAACTGGGTGAACGCGAAATGCTCTCTCTCTCTCTCTCTCTCTCTCTCTCTCTCTCTCTCTCTCTCTCTCTCTCTCTCTCTCTCACACACACACAACTCGCCTCATTTCCATTGACCGTCAAGCTGGATAAACTCTATTCCCAACACAAGCCCGCAGCAGTTTCGAGATTCTAATGGAGATCGAAAGACAAGGGAAAGACACATGAAGCGAGCATGAAGGATCATTGAAACGAAACAGAAAAAAAAGGAGTAGCAGACCGATCAAGAGAGAGAAACAGAAACACTCATAGAGAGAGAGAGGGAGAGAGAGCGAAGAAACTGTGGACAATGAAAGCGAAGAAGCAGGCCGCCCTCTAGAGTGTAGCAGGAAGACAAGTTCACTATTAGGTACGTTCCCGCCTCCAGGAAAAGGTGACATTGAGAGAAGGTCTTACAAGATTCACTAGCAGGAAGAAAAGTTCACTATTAGGAGAAGTGGTAGGTAGGTAATGAAAGGTGACATAGAAAAGAACATAGCTTAGCCTGACAAAAGGAAAAGGTCTTCTTCATTCCCACAGGCGCGAGAGATCCAGTATCGGTGAGAGAGGACGATCCTCCGGTGAGGAAACAAAACAGCGTAATCGTGGAGATATCTTGAGGCTTCTCAGATCCCTCTCAAGATTCGTTGCCAAGTATCGACGATCCCTTCATGAGATCGCAAGGATACCCTGGGAAGATCGATCCGACGATTTTTTCAAGATTAAGATTCTCTGAAGAGTTGCAAATCAGAAAGTAGTACCCAGATCCATAAACAAAAGGGACGAAGAGCTGAGGAGGAGGACACACTGCTAAACTGCATATCTTTCAGAGGAAAAGGACAGGACATCCCGCCACGGGATTCCACGGGGAATCTGACTGGGGTTAATTGGCATGGATCCCCGCTTATCATCTTTCCACGGGGATTTCTTCACAAACCCTGAGGGAGCACTTCAGAACCACCTGCACACCCGGTCTCCCATGAGATGCCAACCCATCAAACCACCTTCCAATTCTCGTGGATCAACAGCAACTCTCTCTCTCTCTCTCTCTCTCTCTCTCTCTCTCTCTCTCTCTCTCTCTCTCTCTCTCTCTCT